GACAGGTGGAGCTAGTTAGGCTGAGTAGAGAGAGTGGTGAGCAGAGTGGAAGAAAATTAAGGTGGTAACCCGGTGGAGTGAGAGGCTCATGACAGAACCCCCCCCCCAAGGGACGGCCCCAGAAGTCCCAAGAGCAACACCACGCCGGGCGGGAGGAGGGGAGCCGGAGGAGGGCTAGAACTCCTCCGAACGGTCCGAGTGAACGTCCTCATCCTCGGAGGAAGCCGGAGGGCCGTGGTCGGGAGATGGGACAGGTCCCGAGACAGGATCAGGCACAGGACAGGAAGCCGAGCGGGCAGGACGGTTAGGGACCCCTCTGGGGCGGCCCCTACGGATTGCAGGTTGATCAGGATGCCGTTGGTGGAAAGCGGTGATGAGAGTCCTATCCACAATCCGACTAGCTGGCACCCAGGTCCTTTCCTCAGGTCCATAGCCCTCCCAGTCAATGAGGTACTGGAGACCCCTACCCCTCCGTCTGGACCGAAGCAGGCGGCGGACGGTGTAAACCAGACCACCATCGACGAGCCGTGGAGGAGGAGGACAAGGCGCAGCAGGGACCAGCGGACTCTCATGGATGGGCTTAATCTTAGACACATGGAAAGTGGGGTGCACCCTCAGGGAATTAGGCAGTTGGAGCCGGACAGCAGTTGGGCTAATCACTCTTATGATAGGGAATGGGCCAATGAACCGAGGTGCCAGCTTCTGCGACTCCACCCTGAGTGGCAGGTTCTTCGATGACAACCACACCCTTTGACCAACATGGTAGGTGGGAGCAGGAATTCTCCGACGGTTGGCCCCGGTAGTGTAGCTGGCAACGGATCTGAGGAGTGTGGCTCGGGCTTGTGACCAGGTGCGGCGACATCGACGGGCAAAAGCAAGTGCAGATGGGCAAGTAACCTCCTCTTCCTGGCTGGCAAATAGAGGAGGCTGGTATCCATAAACACATTGGAAAGGGGACATACCGATGTGAGAAAAAGGCACAGGGATGGAGCTTCCTATCCTCCGCAGCCCACTGAGAAATCACAGCACCAACTCCCACATCCGAGGCGTCCACCTCCACAATGAATTGCCGGTCCACATCAGGCATCTGGAGGATGGGAGCGGAGGTGAACCTCACCTTGAGGGTACTGAAGGCTTTGTCGGCTGCTGGGGTCCAGGTGAAGGGTTGCTTGGTGCTGGTTAGAGCAGTGAGAGGGGCAGCAACGGTACTGTAGTTCCGGATAAACTTTCTATAGAAGTTAGCAAACCCCAGAAACTGTTGCAGCTTCTTTCTGTTCTCCGGAACTGGCCATGAAGTGACTGCTGATACTTTGGCAGGATCCATTTGGATACTTCCCTCTGCCACTATGTACCCCAGGAAGGCCACTGTCTTGACGTGAAACTCACATTTCTCTGCCTTGGCGTAGAGGGAATTCTCCAGAAGACGATGAAGGACTTGCTGGACATGGCGGGTGTGTTCAGACAGGTTTCTGGAGTAGATTAAGATGTCATCCAGGTAAACGAAGACAAACTTGTTTAACATGTCCCGCAGTACATCATTCACTAGAGCCTGGAACACAGCAGGAGCATTGGTGAGGCCAAAAGGCATAACCAGATACTCGTAGTGGCCTGTTGGTGTATTGAATGCGGTTTTCCATTCATCTCCCTCCCGGATCCGCACTAGGTGGTAAGCGTTTCTGAGATCCAACTTGGTAAAAACAGTGGCTCCCTGGAGCAACTCAAAAGCAGAGGTGAGCAGAGGCAGAGGGTAACGGTTTTTCACTGTGATGTCGTTGAGTCCCCTGTAGTCGATGCAGGGGCGAAGAGATCCGTCCTTCTTCCCCACAAAGAAGAAGCCAGCACCAGCAGGAGATGAAGATGAACGGATTAATCCTGCGGACAGAGAGCCATTGATGTAGTCCTCCATGGACTTTCTTTCAGGAGCAGACAACGAATAAAGACGACCCTTTGGAGGGGCTGTTCCAGGGAGGAGGTCGATGGCACAGTCGTACGGTCGGTGAGGGGGCAGAGATGTGGCTCTTGCTTTGTTAAACACCTCTCTGAGACCATGGTAGCATTCTGGGACATTGGAGAGGTCAGGAGCGGAGTTAGTAGGTACTGGCCGAGGGGGTAGTGCGGCAGCAAGCAGGCAGGTTCGGTGGCAGTCCTCTCCCCACTCCCTGATCACCCCGGTCACCCAGTCGAGCTGAGGGTTGTGCCGGCGGAGCCATGGGTAACCCAGGATGAGGGGTTGGCCTGGAGAGGGGAGCAGGTGAAACTGGATAGTTTCTTGATGGTTTCCGGACAGACCCATCGAGACCGGGGCCGTGACATGAGTGACCGATCCGAGTAAGTGTCCGTCCAGTGCCCGGGCAGGAATAGGAGGTGTCAAACGGAGGTTCTCCAGTCCCAGTTGGCGTGCCAGCTTGATGTCCATTATGTTGGCTTCGGCGCCAGAATCCACCAGAGCAGCCAGGGTGTGAGTTGAGTCAGAGAGGCGGAGGTGAACTTGCAGCAGGGGTTTGCGGTCGGAGGACTGGATGGTCATTGAACTCAACCGGACTCCCCCTATGCCCGGTGAGCTTCGGCCCTTTAAAGGGCAGGTTACCACACGATGTCCATCACCTCCACAGTAGAGGCAGAGGTTTGAGGTGAAGCGGCGCTGGCGCTCTGCAGGAGTGAGAGAGGCTCGCCCAATCTCCATAGGCTCAGACTGATCAAGCTGACCTGGGTGAGTGGCAGTAGATGACAGGATCCCAGTCGGATCTCTCCGAATGCCGGTAGTAGGTGGACCTTGGCGCCCCCTCTCACGACGACGGGTCTGTATCCTTCTGTCGATCCTGACAGTCAGTGCGATGGCTTCATCAAGAGTGGAAGGCAGTTCATGGGAGACCAACTCGTCCTTGATATAGTCAGCCAAACTATGGAAGAACGCGTCCACCAACGATGGTGTGTTCCAAGAACTTCGTCTAGCCAGGGTTCGGAAGTCGATGGAATGGTCTGCGACTGTACGTCTGCCTTGTCGAATACTGAACAGTTCACGAGACGCCTCTGCGGTTGGTGAATCCAGGTCAAACACCTTCAGCATCTCCTCAGCAAACAGGTCGAAGGTTGCACATGCGGGGGTTTGACGTTCGAACTCTGCTGTTCCCCAGAGTCGAGCTCGGCCCGTCAGGTGAGTGATGGCATACCCAACTTTAGCCCCCTCCGTGGCGAAGGTCCTTGGCTGCAAGGAGAACTGAAGTCGGCAGCTAGTCAGGAATGGCCGGACCTGGGTTGAATCGCCGTTGAACCGCTCGGGGTTTCCAATCTTGGGTTCCGGAGCAGCGGCTGCAATGACCGGGGCAGGTAACTCGGGGGCAGGGCTGGTGGGCAGACTGGCTGGGGTAAGGTTGGTGAGGAGTTGAATGATCATGGCGAGTTGTTGTTGCTGCTGCTGGAACTGCTGCTCATGCTCATCGGTATCCATGTCGGGGAAAGTGTGCGCTGAGTCCATAATGGTCAGATCGTACTGTCACGGTTCAGACAGACGACCAGAGGACCACAATTGCGTCACACCAGAAAGTTTATTAAAACTTAAGGGAAAAGGGAAGTAGGGAGTGAATGAAGGCTCCAGGGGTAACAGGGATCCCGTCCAATGTGCTGGGTCTGTGCCCCCCCCAGTGGCAGCGATGCGTCCTATGAAGCCGGTGGTGGGTGGTCCAGAAGTCCTGGGGGGGGGAGACACAGACACAACAGGGCGGAATGAAACAAGGCAGCAGTACAGTTCAAGGGAAATCCAAAATACGTAGTAGCAAGGCAGAAGGCTGGTCAGAGTTACCGGGATTGAAGAGTAGTCAGGAGTCGTTATGGCAGAAGCAGGTCTGGATCTCCTGGGGCAGAAGAGTATCCAAAAATCAGGCAGGTCCGGTGTCACAAAACCAGGGTGAGCCAGAAGCGCGAGCAAACAGGTTCCGGGTGTGAGCTTTGCAGACGATCTGACACCGGAGAGCTGAAAGACAGGGCCTTAAATACTGGGAGAGGTAGTGGGTAATGCAGCGCAGCTGGCAGAGTAATTAGAGCAGAGCAGAGCAGGGACAGGTGGAGCTAGTTAGGCTGAGTAGAGAGAGTGGTGAGCAGAGTGGAAGAAAATTAAGGTGGTAACCCGGTGGAGTGAGAGGCTCATGACACATATTCTAGAAATCGCTTTCACTGATATATCCTCTGATGGTTCGATATTTTTTTCAAAGTACAGGAGAACTGAGTGGAGCAAAAACCACAAACGCTTCAAAGTTAAAACAACATTTGGAGGACTCAAGGGTTTACTATTTCAAGCATAGCATAATGAAGGGCCCTGCTAACATCAACAGGATATATTTCAAAGACGAGAGAAGGCAAAAAAAGTTATTAAGTTGTCAGTTGCATTCTCTCAGGGCGACCTGCCTTTGGTATAGTATAACATAATGTAGAATGTCAAGGTTGTAGACCAAAGAGAGATGAGGTTAATACACTTCAGTGTCTATAGGGTTTCACAGTTTCACCTGAATTTCCAATAATAGTAATGCATACCTTGAAATCTCACATTGAATGTCCTCTCCACCCACCTTGAGGTAGAGGAATTTGTGTTTTGTGTGTGCAGGAATTACATGGTCAGACCCACCCCCAACCACACAAACACACATTGTAATTGCCAAATGCAAAATCCTATCTTCTGGGATGTGGAACTTGTAAATATCTGGGGGATATTTACATTGTGTCAACATTTGGCAATCCATTATTTTGCCTCTAAATTATATTAGTGAGCAGGTTGCAAGTCTGATATATTGTTCTAATCAGAATGAATCAGGCCCATTTAATGAGATTTTCATTTGTCGCTAAAAGTTAATTAGATAGAAATAAGCCATTTAGTTAATCCTGTTCTTTTCTATTTCACCTCCAGAGACTATGAAAGGCTGTTGATGACTAACTCTGCCATTGGCTGAAAGGGAACCCAGGATAGCAGCCTGAGCACATAGGTTGGGTGCGCAGGGAAAGAACCAACAATGGCCGCCCATCGAATCAGAGCGACCAACAACAACAACATTGCACTGCCACGCTGCAAGTCAGAGGGGACACTCATTGATCTCAGTGATGGAGTGTCTGAATCTAACTGCCTCACAGACATCAAAGGTACGCTAATGAGGTTGATTGAATATTTGAGATATTCTGTCGTAGTATTGATAATCTGATAAAAGATTGATATTTTTTGGTGTTCTGTTTTTTGCAGTGCCTTCTCCCAGTGCCTTAAGACTGGACGCCACTGCCTCCTTTGGCACTGCCAGGGAAGTCGTTGCCATTAAGGATTACTGTCCCTCCAGCTTTACCACCCTCAAGTTCTCCAAGGGAGAACATCTCTTTGTGCTGGACACATCGGGTGGAGAGTGGTGGTACGCCCACAACAACACTGAGATGGGTTATATCCCTGCGGCATACGTCCAGCCCATCAACTACCGGGACTCCTCCTTCAGTGACAGCGGTATGATCGACAGCTTAGGAGACTGCTCTGTTGAGGAGGGAGCCAAGGAGCTGGACCTCCTTGGAGATTGGACCGGTGTGATTCTGAAACCCACTGCCCCCCAAAACGGCAACCCCTTTGCCCCCCATCACCAGCCCCTTTGTCGTAGCGCCACCAACCCTTTCCTCAATGGAGCCTTTCAGGGTTCGCTGGATCAGAACAGTAATGAGAACAGTAAGTCAGTGGATCTTCTTCTTTTTGACACCCTAGCTCCCTCTGTCCCACCAAACTCCACCAGCAGCACTGTCAACATCAATGGCTTTGGCAGTGGCATCTTTGATCTGAACCCCATCAGCCCCAGCCTGGGAGTGGGCCAGACCTTACGCAGGGACAACCCATTCTTCAGGAGCAAGCGATCCTACAGTCTCTCAGAACTTTCCATCCTGCAGGCTCAGAATGACGCCCCACAGGCATCCTCAGGTTTCTTTGGAGGCCTGAAAGCCCCTGCGCCTGAGCAGTTCCAGAGCAGAGAGGATTTCCGGGAAGCATGGCTCAATCACCGCAAGCAAGCCAGGTCCTGCCATGACCTGGACTCCTTGGGCCAGAACCCAGGCTGGGGCCAAACGCAGCCGGTGGAGACCAACATTGTCTGCCGTCTAGACAGTTCTGGAGGAGCCGTCCAGCTTCCAGACACCAGCATCAGCATTCACATCCCTGAGGGCCACGTGGCCCCTGGAGACACCCAGCAGATCTCCATGAAGGCCCTGCTGGACCCACCTCTGGAGCTCAACAACGACCGCTGCACCACTGTGAGCCCAGTTGTGGAGATCAAACTCAGCAACATGGAGACCAAAACCACTGTCACCCTTGAGATGAAAGTGTCAGTTGTGGTGAAGAAGGAGAGCAGACAGACGACAGAGGTCATGTGTGTGAGGAGTGACTGCAAGGAGGGCCCCTACACACCAATCCCACAGCCGTACATGTATGGGGACACCGTCCAGGTCTGTCTGGATAACCTTGAGCCCTGCATGTATGTGTCTGTTGTGGCCAAGGCCCAGTTGGTTGCTCCAGACACCACAGTTTGGGATAACGTGGTGAAGAAGGTCACCCTGGGCGTCTATGGGCCCAAGCACATTCACCCCTCCTTTAAGACTGTGGTGGCTATCTTCGGCCATGACTGTGCCCCAAAGACATTACTGGTGAGTGAGGTGGGGAGGCAGGCCCACTCTGCCCCTCCAGTGGCCCTTCAGCTCTGGGGGAAGCACCAGTTTGTCCTGGCTAGACCACAGGATCTACTGGTCGGGGTTTACTCCAATATGGCCAACTATGAGGTCAAGGCCAGTGAGCAGGCCAGGGTGGTCAGGGGGTTCCAGGTCAAACTAGGAAAGGTTAGCCGGCTTGTCTATGTGATCTCCTCACGCACTGCTGACGATATCTCAGATTTTACATTGCGGGTCCAGGTCAAGGATGACCAGGACTGTATTCTCGCCCAGTTCTGCGTTCAAACACCAACACCTCCACCCAAGACTGGTCCACGGACGTCTGCGCAGAGGCGCTTCCTGAAGAAGAAGGAAGTAGGGAAAATTGTCTTGTCCCCGCTGGCCATCACTACCAAGTACCCTGTGTTCCATGACCGACGAATCCACAACCTGAAGTTTGGCAAGTTTGTCAAAACAGTAATCCGGCAGACCAAGAACCAATACTTACTGGAGTACAAAAAGGGGGATTACGTTGCCCTTCTGAGCGAGGAGAAAATCAAACTGAAGGGACAGTTGTGGACTAAGGAATGGTACATCGGTTACTATCATGGTAGGACGGGACTTGTCCATGCAAAAAATGTTCTGGTGGTGGGGAAAGTGAAGCCCATTTACTTCAGCGGTGCTGAACTTACCACTACACTCTTACTGACGCAGATACTAAAGCCCAGCAAGTTCCTGACGTACATCTATGCCTCTGTGAGGACTATACTGATGGAGAACGTAGGAAGCTGGAGGGCGTTTGCTGATGCCTTGGGTTACGTCAACCTACCACTGACACATTTCTGCCGTACAGAGCCGGACAGTGAGCCTGAGAGGGTGGCGTCTGTTCTGGAGAAGCTGAAGGAGGACTGCAACAATGCAGAGGGCAAGGAGAGGAAGTCCTTCCAGAAGGAACTGATGACTGTAAGTAATGGCCACAGGCCGAATTTGGATCATGGGTGGTTTTATCCCCCCCGCCCCAAGTTTTCTGAGCAAAAATAATAATATACAGTTGAAGTCGGAAGTTTACATGCACTTAGGTTGGAGTCGTTGAAACTAGTTTTTCAACCACTACACACATTTCTTGTTAACAAACTATAGTTTTGTCAAGTCGGTTAGGACATCTACTTTGTGCATGACACAAGTAATTTTTCGAACAATTGTTTACAGACAGATTATTTCACTTATAATTCACTGTATCACAATTCCAGTGGGTCAGAAGTTTAGAAAAAGCCACTGCTCTTTACTAAGATTAAATGTCAGGAATTGTGAAAAACTGAGTTTAAATGTATTTGGCTAAGGTGTATGTAATCTTCCGACTTGGGTGAATTTTGGCCCATTCCTCCTGACAGAGCTGGTGTAACTGAGTCAGGTTTGTAGGCCTCCTTGCTCGCACACGCTTTTTTAGTTCTGCCCACACATTTTCTATAGGATTGAGGTCAGGGCTTTGTGATGGCCACTCCAATACCTTGACTTTGTTGTCCTTAAGCCATTTTTCCACAACTTTGGAAGTATGCTTGGGGTCATTGTCCATTTGGAAGCCCCATTTGCGATCAAGCTTTAACTTCCTGACTGATGTCTTGAGATGTTGCTTCAAGATATCCACATAGTTTTCCTTCCTCATGATGCCATCTATTTTGTGAAGTGCACCAGTCCCTCCTGCAGCAAAGCACGCCCACAGAATGATGCTGCCACCACCGTGCTTCACGGTTGGGATGGTGTTCATCGGCTTGCAAGCATCCCCCTTTTTCCTCCAAAAATAACGATGGTCATTATGGCCAAACAATTATATTTTGGTTTCATCAGACCAGAGGACATTTCTCCAAAAAGTACGATCTTTGTCCCCATGTGCAGTTGCAAACCATAGTCTGACTTTTTTATGGCGGTTTTGGAGCAGTGGCTTCTTCCTTGCTGAGCGGCCTTTCAGGTTATGTCGATATAGGACTCGTTTTACTGTGGATATAGATACTTTTGTACCTGTTTCCTCCAGCATCTTCACAAGGTCCTTTGCTGTTGTTCTGGGATTGATTTGATCTCTAGGAAGCAGAACGTGTCTCCTTTCTGAGCGGTATGACGGCTGCATGGTCCCATGGTGTTTATACTTGCGTACTATTGTTTGTACAGATGAACGTGGTACCTTCAGGCGTCAGGAAATTGCTCCCAAGGATGAACCAGACTTGTGGAGGTCTACAGTTCTTTTTCTGAGGTCTTGGCTGATTTATTTTGATTTTCCCATGATGTCAAGCAAAGAGGCACTGAGTTTGCAGGTAGGCCTTGAAATACATCCACAGGTACACCTCCAATTGACTGAAACTATGTCAATTAGCCTATCAGAAGCTTCTAAAGCCATGACATCATTTTCTGGAATTTTCCAAGCTGTTTAAAGGCACAGTCAACTTAGTGTATGTAAACTTCTGACCCACTGGAATTGTGATACAGTGAATTATAAGTGAAATAATATGCCTGTAAACAATTGTTGGAGAAATTACTTGTGTCATGCACAAAGTAGATGTCCTAACTGACTTGCCAAAACTATAGTTTGTTAACAAGTAATTTGTGGAGTGGTTGAAAAATGAGTTTGAATGACTCCAACATAAGTGTATGTAAACTTCCAACTTCAACTGTATACAGTACCAGTCAAAAGTTTGGACACACCTACTCATTATAGGGTTTTTCTTTATTTTTACTATTTTCTACATTGTAGAATAATAGTGAAGACATCAAAACGATGAAATAATACATATGGAATCATGTAGTAACCAAAAACTGTTAAACAAATCAAAATATATTTTATATTTGAGATTCATCAAATAGCCACCCTTTGCTTTGATGACAGCTTTGCACACTCTTGGCATTCTATCAACTAGCTTCATGAGGTAGGCAACTGGAATGCATTTCAATTAACAGATGTGCCTTCTTAAAAGTGCATTTGTGGAATTTATTTCCTTCTTAATGCGTTTGAGCAAATCAGTTGTGTTGTGACAAGGTAGGGGGGGGGGGGTATACAGAAGATAGCCCTATTTGGTAAAAGACCAAGAGGATAAGTTCATTAGAGTTACCAGCCTCAATTGCAGCCCAAATACATGCTTCACAGAGTTCAAGTAACAAACACATCTCAACATCGACTGTTCAGAGGAGACTGTGTGAATCAGGCCTTCATGGTCGAATTGCTGCAAAGAAACTATTACTAAAGGACACCAATTAGAAGAACAGACTTGCTTGGGCCAAGAAATACGAGCAATGGACATTAGACCGGTGGAAATGTGTCCTTTTTTCTGGAGTCCAAATTGGATATTTTTGGTTCCAACTGCCGTGTTTTTGTGAGTGTGGGTGAACAGATTATCTCTGCATGTGTATTTCCCACCGTAAAGCATGGAGGACGAGGTGTTATGGTGTGGAGGTGCTTTGCTGGTGACACTGTCTGTGATTTATTTAGAATTCAAGGCACAGTTAACCAGCATGGCTACTACAGCATTCTGCAGCGATACGCCATCCCATCTGGTTTAGGCTTAGTGGGACTATCATTTGTTTTTCAACAGGACAATGACCCAACACACCTCCAGGCTGTGTAAGGGCTATTTTAGCAAGAAGGAGAGTGATGGAGTGCTGCATCAGATGACCTGGCCTCCACAATCCCCCGACCTCAACCCAGTTGAGATGGTTTGGGATGAGTCGGACTGCAGAGTGAAGGAAAAGCAGCCAACATTTGCTCAGCATATGTGGGAACTCCTTCAAGACTGTTGGAAAAGCATTCTAGGTGAAGCTGGTTGAGAGAATGCCAAGAGTGTGCAAAGCTGTCATCAAGGCAAAGCCGTGGCTATTTGAAGAATCTCAAATATAAAATATATTTTGATTTGTTTAACACTTTTTTGGTTACTACATGATTAATATGTGTTATTTCATAGTTTTGATGTCTTCACTATTATTCTACAATGTAGGAAATAGTAAAAATAAAGAAAAACCCTGGAATGAGTAGGTGTGCCCAAACTTTTGACTGGTACTGTATATATATTTTTTATTCGTTGTTGGACATAAAATACTTTCAAGACACCAGCAAATCAGCTTCAAGTGATTACAATTTTGGAAATCTGTTCCCAAGTATTCCCACGCATAATAGAGAGACGTGATCGTATACAAATGTAAGCAAAGTTGGAAATTATTATGTTTTAGTCAAATATTATATATGTTTGGGCTTCTTGTGGTCAATTTGCAGTCTACAAATTATTTGTCATTATGTTCCGGCCCCCCGACCATCCGCTCAATAAAAAATCTTCCCGCGGCTTAATCTAGTTGATGAACCCTGGCCAAGGGCCTTGAGGTCTTTTTTCTATTTTGTCGCAGATGAGTTAGCGTTTCCTTTCAGTTATTCTTCAGTCTTAAATATCATATCGAAGTAAACTTGGAGTCACGCGATGATATTGTGTGGTCCTCCCACTACGACTCAGGAAAGCATGCAGTACATTAGTCTACAGATTAAATAAATTCTGAAGAACTTCACTGGGTGGTGAATGTGCATGGTGATGAGGTTGATGTGCCTTTCTAATAAATATTGAGGGTCTTATTCTGATGACATGATGATTGAGCTGGGCTGCCATTTGACATAAAAAGAATCTTGCTCTTTTTGTCCATAATAATCTCATCATGTAGGCCAGTGTTTCCCAACTCCAGCCCTCGAGTAACCCCAACAGCACACATTTTTGTTGTAGCCCTCGACAAGCACACCTGATTCAACTTGTCAACTAATCATCAAGCCCTCAATGAGTTGAATCAGGTGAGTTTGTCTGGGGCTACAACAAAAATGTGTGCTGTTATGGATCCTGGAGGACTGGAGTTGGGAAACACTGATGTAGACTATACCCACACTGTATCTGCAAGCTGTTGGCTAGAGTGCACATGCCAAGACCAGAGTGGGCACATTCGCTATATAACGCATTTTGTTTTTGACAAAACCATCAGTAGAGTTGAAAATGCGGGAATTTAACCGCAAAAGTTATTTTATGTGCACTTCGTCATCACGCACAGCCTTTTATCCGCAACAAGTCAATTTGATGGAATCACTTTGCTGGTGGGAAAATGTGCATATTGTTTTTATGCAGATTTTATAATATTTGCAGGAAAATCTGTCACCAATTGGATGGAAACCTAGGTTATGTGTTTATAACTTTTGTTTCTTCTGTTTGTTCTAGTTTGCATGTTTGTGTCTTGTGTTTGGTCTTGTGTGTGCACTGTGCCTGCACCTGTCTCTGTCATTGTGTGTCTAGCTTTGGTATTTTTCATGTCAGTCGTGGCTTTGGTTCCTTATCTACTTACAGCTGATTGAGGCTATGGTCCAGTGGGCTAATTCTGTTGAGAGTGCAGTCAATAAGTGCTGCGTGGGCATCAGGGTCTAATGGGGACTAGGGAGTTGTGGAGAGCAGCAGAATATTTTGGCACAGTCCAACCACCACTTCGGTCTTGTAAATCACATTGAGTTAGAGATACTGTATGTGCTGCATTCGTAAATCCAAATGATGGCTCACCCTGCCTTGATAATGCTCCGTCTTCATTTCAAGTCATAATGTGTAAATCAGCAGCAGTTGCAAAGTTAGCGGGGAGGCCGTGGTAGTGGGCATGGCAAATGGTGCGGTTTTAGAGGCCCTCCTCTTGGACTCAGAGACAAAATGTTGCTGTTTTAAAGCAAATTTCCTGCAATTCTACACATTTTGCCATGCGGCTGAGAGAACATTTTACAGGTTTAAAGCTAATTTCCTATAATTCTACACATTTTACCATGGCTTATGCCATGTTCTTATTTATGCTTGCTGAGTGACTCAAACGTTATTTAAAAAATCAATGGGGGCCCCATGCCATGACATTTTTTGAATTTTAGATTCTCCCTGACTGTCTAGTTTTTATTTTGGTGATTGTTAGTTCTTAAAGATTATCTTATTTAAAAAATATATACTGTAGCTCCGTTATCTTTTTCTACATACTTTATATCATGGTTTCGTCGTCCCGATAAAACACATTTTTGGGTGTGGAGGCAACAATTTAGCCCCGCCACTTTTAAATGAATATAGGGGAAACATTGAACATGATAAATTCACAGACAGATTGAAGAATAGAGCCATAGAAGCATGTTATACTGTATGGATTAGCAATATATCTGATGAATACTGTTCCCCTCATGTTGCTGAGGGAGTGCCCCTTTCAGAGAGTATCATTGTGCTCCCTGTTCTCTTTCATAGGTGAGATTCATGTCACGCCGTAACAATGACATTGATATTAGGTGAGACTGTTTCCCCTCAAATGTGTCTGAGACGGAAGACAGGGCACACACCAGATATAACTATTGTTGTCATCTTTTAACATCTGCATTATTCAGTCAGCACTGTCCCCATTGGTGACCCTGGCGTGTCAAGACTCTCATTAACACTGTAGCCTCACCACACCCACTAATAGACCAGAAACCAGCTGGTTTGGGACTGACTTGGAAACGTTTCCTGAAAACCCAACCCTTTTCTGTCTGTTTCCCTTTCTCACATTATTGTGTGCAAAGATGTTGTCCTCAAGACAGTTTCATTCAGTATTTCCCAGTATTGCCTCTGGGAAAATTGGCAGCAGGTCCTGCAATAAGTTTCTATTCAGACAAATATTTAAACATTTTTCAATATGTAGTCTCTCCTTCCCTCATGTTTCAAAGTGTTGACAACCTCTGAGATGTGATGTCGATTTTAAATCATTGATTTTTGTCATCTGCGTGTCAATATAATTCAAGTTCGAAACAGTATGTGCTATGTGAGAATGTTCACAAACTTAAAGTGCAAGAATACTCAAAACGTCAGCCTCACTCGCTCTCAGTACATTCGTAATGATTTTCTTTTTTTCAGTAACATTCCTTTGTTGAAGTCCCTTAGAGGTCATGGTCATAATAGAACAGGCTCTGAGGTAAGATGGAACATAAACACTATATAATTAACTTCGGATTGTAAACACTAATTACAACCATGTATAGACATAGTGGAGCTTCACTGTGGAGAAGAAGAACTATATATAAAGACGAGTCCGTGCTGGATAAAGACGTGTCCTCCACAACACTTCCCATTTCTCAGGCTCAGTTGTTTGGTGTACACTTTGTAATGATGTGATACAATCAGTACAATTAGTTGGGTGTGTTTTCCCTTTTCCAATGTACATAGAACATCTTGGAAAATAGGATGTACTTCATTGGATGGACCTTTGGAAGCGATGGTGCAGCAACCAGTAATACTGATATCATCACTGAATTCAAAAGTATTCACAAAGTGGCATACTTAGAGCAAACTAATCCAGCCTTGCATGCATAGAATGTACAACTCCTGATTAATAACTACCAAAGACATTCACAAACACTCTTTTAGTTTATTTATGGAAAATACCGCAGTCTATACAACTTCACACAAGGTTATTTGGTACTTATGCAACAAGAGTTGAAATGGGGGACTATAAAGTTAGAATCCACTTCCTCCCACTGAGAGGATGTTAGTGTTATTGAGGCCCCACTGAGATATCCTCACATTCCAAGGCAGGCTACAAGGGAACCAACGCATGCCGGATGGATATCTGTTAGCAACCAGTGTGTCTACACCAACCCACCTATCCAGCTTCACAAATTAGGATTGATGTCTAGGTTAGTCAAATCTAATTTAGGTAACCGCTGTTCCTGTGTGCACAACAATAACTAACAGTTGTTGCTTGTTTACCCTGGTTTTTCAAGAGGAGTTTTGTGTCCTGAAAAGTGGGCACTGTGGCTTTTTAAGTGCATATATTGTGTGCGATTTTATAAGAAGCATCTTTTTGCAGCTGTTTATCCCCCAAACAATAGATTGCTTACATTGTGGTGGGCTTCAATTGCGGTCGTCTGAGTCTTAGTATGTGGCTGTCAATTTAATTACCGTCTCTCTGCAATTAAGTATTTTCTCTGACACTGAAAATAATCCCTCCTGATTCACTTGCATATCATTTGACGGAGAGCTGAGAGCGTATTTTTAGATACAAAGCAAAGGAAATCAAAAGGATTGTGTGCGCCTCAGAGAGAGAGATGACAGCCTTTGTGCTTGAGCATCTGAAGGCATGCACATTTTCTCTCATTGTTCAGGAAAAAATGAATTATCAGCAATGTGTTAGGCATGGGCCTATATCCAGTCATCCCAAATAGAGAGAGATTCCTGTTATTTCCCCCCTCTACTTCCCCCTTTTGACCTTTTCTTAGTCGGTGGAACTGCATTGCTCTGCATTGCCTGTAGTTATTGCCTATTGAAGCATAATCCAATTACTTAGAAACATTTTCTATTTCAAAACAAATATATGGAAAATGAGTTTGCATATGGTAATGGTGACCACCAATTGAACTCCACTGCTAAACCACAAAACTTCAGTGCCCGTGCTAAATCCATCTCTAGCAGCGAGCTTGTGAACTTTGTTTTAATGAAACCTGCAATGCCTATGAGGTTATCTTATGACCACATATGATAAAGTATGTTTTGTACATTCTGTTAATTGTGCATGTTTATTTCATTCAAGACTCAGCTCTGATATGCTTTTGTGACCTAGCAAATTTGCCCATGACTGATTGTGTAGGAGTTGAGCTATGAATGTATAATTCAGAGCTGGGTTAATCAAGTACTAATTGAAGTTCAGTCTAATCTGCATTTGACAACAAAAAAACTAAACAGGTTTTGAGCCTGATAATTAAGCCGACCACAACCAGACAGTATTCTCTTCCTGGTACATACATACAATCCTCCAGGCTTTGGAGAACAAGCCCCCAGATTCACGGTAGACTTTGGTAGTGAAATAAGGAGCTCATCAAGGGAACGTGTCGAGATCGATCATGTTGCATTGCTCTGCTAACAGTATGATGGACCATTTGTTACAAACACGAAGCCTCAAGCAAGCTAAATAGAAAGAGTGGAACGTTCACTCTGTCACATCAGATATCCTTTCAGCAGCACTACATTGTAACATTGACAGAATGCCCTCTATTTAGTGCATATTTTTGTCAGGTACAGACTTGCCCAAACAGATGAAACAGTGGTGGACTACAGTACACCTCAGCAAGAGACGGACTGTAAAATTATGCTGGTACAGAAAATATGACAAACTTTGCTTACGACCCTCATAGTTTTGAATATATTGACTGTTTTTGTTTACTGGCAGATTTAGACCTACCCCACTTAACCTGCACTCACTCATTTTTCTCCAGTATCCATGAGTCAACAAAGCTCAAATATCTTTAAATCAACATAGGTATGAACAGGACGTTTATCCAGAAAATAAATATTGGCCACTTCTTTTTGCACACATTTGCATGTGTCTGGCTGTGTGCATAGTGTATGTGTGTGTGTGTGTGTATGTGTGTGTGTATGTATGTACCAGCTGTCACCTAGTCTAAGTTCATATTTGTGCCCTGCTTTTTAACACATTTAAACTGCACATGCCCCCTGTGTTTACAAAATGGCCACTTGCATAGTATGTGTGCAATAATCACCACATTAACGCTTGGCTATTGATTTTACCATTTCAGCCAAATGCACTTGAGTCTAGATGAAATTAAAACTGTAAATTGTCCTCAGCATTAAGCTTCTTCAGTTATGTTTCCCAACTGTTTTAAGATTTAGGGCTGGACAAGATCATCAGCACAATAATAATACTAAAACAATTCCCAAGGGTTGACTTGACACATACTCTCTTGTGCTCTGTTTTGTCTGGCAGTTTTATGTAATCCCAAATAGAAAGAACCCAATATTCTGTGAGATAGAGATTCTCACTCATATTTTGTCAGACCTTCCTTACTGTATGTATGAAATCAAGCTCCAGCTGTGGCGTCTCTGCTCTGACATCAAACATCCAGCCCTGTCACTGACTGAGAGACTAAAAGAAGCAGAAACACCACATTGTTGTTGTTTATTGTGTGTATTAAGTATTATAGACTCTTAGTGGGCTTGTATCAACCCCAGTCTGAGGACTAGAGGTCTGTGTGTAATGGCCGTGGCGTTTGGCGTCTGATGGACGTGGGCAAGGACATGTCTCTGTGGAGGATCACAGTCCCACAGATGTTTCCTGTCTCATTGTTAAGACTAAACAGAAGTGCCAGTTATGGACCAAGAGGCGCCTGCATTCCACACCACCTCCCCTTGCCCCTCACATAGCCCCTCTACCTCAACTCGGCTATGACCAGACAACTATGCAGAAACACTCTACAGAACTGCCTGTTCTGTCTGGTGTTGTTGAGCCATGAATTGGAGACCAGTGAGTGTGCTATGTACTGTTGTGTATATATACTGACTTCAGTTTTAAGACGGGTTCTGAGCCACCATTGCACCCATTCCACAAATAGGATTTGGAAAAAGAGGAAAAATCTGGAGGAGGT